TCTCCCAGAAATCCAGAAGCCAAATCCAGAAACCGAAAACGGCGAATCGAAAAGTGCTTCGCACATCCAGTAGGCTATGCTAATCGCGGGGGTTCAACATAAGTGCAAAACAACGCGACCGCTCTCAAACAAACTGCGTAAAATTCACTAACTTGAAACGCCAAAATCAAGGCACGGTCCTGTTTGTAACCGAGTCTCATGGCAGTGCCACCAGAGGGGATATATTTTGGTGCTGCCACCGAACGCACACAGACTCAGCAATACATCTCAATGGGCAAACAGCGCCAGAATGCCCGGAAAACCAAGCAGACGCTTGTTTACACCACATTCCCGAACAACGGCAAAGCTGGTCGTCCAAACACTCGGTCTTGGACGAAACACACGTCAGTGCGTACGAGAGTTTAGCTCACGGTGGAAAAACTAAGCCCGTCAAAGACCCGCACGGAGCGAAAAAGCAGCTCCCGAAACCACCAAGACAAGAAGAAGGCAAGTATGTTGCAGAGCCTTCGAGCATGAGCCTGGGCCTCAAACACAACGTACGTTATTAAATCTGCTAACTTCTCTGGTTGCACACCTTTCGGCTTGCTCCCTTCGGGGGAAGCCGAGACAGTGCTCAAAAGGTTTTCCACAAACTTCCACAGATTTTTCAAACATATTGCAATATTAAAGAGTCAGTGTTCTCTAAACGGCAATCCTTGATTGTTTTTGCGGGAACCTATGTCGGACGTGGATATCTCGATAGGGGGCTCCTGTATATTTCCGGCTGACTCGAAACCGGAAAATGTTGACATCTTGTGAAACGGGGAGCCGCTGCAAAAGCGAACTATGTCAGTGAAACAAGAAAACAAGTCACCATTATAGAACTCGCTATGGAAAACGGAGATGCGCTGTTTAAGTAGATGAGACATCAACGCAGAACTGCGCTGACCGCGTTCTTCTTGGGCCACGCGAACGGAGCACCCACGAGTGAAACAATGGTGTTATCTGAGGTCTACAGAGACAGTGTGCGCGCCTGTGATCAGCTTCTGCGTCCTTGTCATGCACAAATGTGACAAAACCTATCTAATGGCGGCCTATAGCAGACTTGGACCTCATAAACGAGGACATTCGTCAACCCGTTCTGCGCGCTACGGCGAGAAGTGTTCATCGAAATACTTTCAAAGGAGCACCACTCACACTGGCAAAGCATTCGTACCTGTCAGATGAAGGCGAAGCGCACCTTGCTGTCACTTGGAAGTAAGCTGTTGTCAGGCCGGTTCACAAAACCAGTGGCCGACTATCACCCTGCAGATGCAGGTCTGTTAGCCTCTCAAGCGTTCAATTCAAATGGGTGCAATGCTTTTTGAGGTGAAGCATTCTAGAAAACTTTTCTACCAAGAAATGGATATCCCCAGTTCAACACATATCCGGCATGCTCGTAGATAATACAGCTCAACCCAGGCCAACAACGAAGTTCCAATATCGGATGTTACGTTTTCCGACTTTTAAAAAGCATGCCACTGATTTACACACGTCTCGCTGCTCCAAAACCCTGGATTCAGGATGGAAATGACGATCAGGACGCTCATGTCAGATAGAAGATTCCGAATGAAAGTAGCCTCGACCAATGTTTATCCGGCGCTGGTCTTCACTGGAGATCCTCAAGGCTCCCTGTTGGGATCACTGGCAATGTCAACGGCCTTCCAGATGTTCCTTTAACTATATATCCACTTTTCGTGGACGACTCTAAATCCTGAAGTTCCAATGCCAGTGTGGCGTTTTGTACCTTTATTATACTTCCATTATAACACTACGTATTTCATCAACTGCACAATCGTTTTTTGTTTGAATACGAAAAACTACAAAAACGCGCACTTGTACAATTTCACATAATACAAGCGTGATCACGTGCTTCGACTCTCTCTTCTGATTTCGCTTGCGTTTGTAGCGGTCATTCGCGAGTCGCATGTACTTACTCTGGTAACAAGACATTTCAGACCATCTTCGGAATCTATTACATGTGGGAACCGTTTAGAAGAAGACATCTGGACCAACACAATTGGATTATTGTTCATCCGCTGATCTGGGCCAACGGCGAACTATTGTAAAGACAACAATTGTTAGTGAGTCTGTTCCTTTATTTTTGTATACCCAACCTAGCGTAATCATTTTTATTTCTTTGCCACACACTCCTGGTAAGCCGGCTTATTGGGTAACCAGACCACTACACCAGCGACCCCTAGACGCTCCAAATCAGTAGTCCTTGGAATTAAACCTTCCTGCAAATAACATACATGCGTAAATATATCATTTTGAGGGATCTCATCGAGCAACTTTGCCGTACATGGGAAGAATGGACCAGAAGATACCACGATGAAGGGTGCCAAATTAGATTTGGGTATCTGGCTCTTTTCAGATATGTTCGTCTCACTGCAACATCAAAAATATTTTCAAAATGCACTCACAGTCTTACGGATGATTCCGTGTACTTTCTACCGTACAAGTAGCATGGACAGTAATTTTAGACCAACTTCCTTATGAAATTCAATACGGCGCAAGCAAATAAATTGCTCCGATAACCTAATCCTAGAAAATGTAATGTAGGATTATCAACTTAGAGTTCCATGAACTAAATGGATGATGCAGTGGTCTTATGTGCATTACCAAATCCCATATTATCGGTCACCAGGTTTTGACTTCCTCGGTACGCTCATACTAGAGCAGGCGAAATTGGTGCGCCATCAACCCAAAATCTCCCCCTTGTAATTGTCTGGTTCACTTCGGCGTCCCCGACCTTCCGATGTAATGTACCGCCCCTCAGGTCATCATCCCCTCGCATTGAACCAACCTGCTAGCGGCTATCTCGTGCTACATACTGATAGGCATCTTAGTCCACATTTCCTGCACAGGACAAGAGCGTTTTCAAGTTTGTATCGCGTGCTTTTGCATTTGAGTTCTGTAGCTGATAACACCATCATCTAATTCAATTTGGCATTGATTTAACTATTTTGTGCGTTCAATTTTTCAAGGACACAAACGGCATTCTTTCAAATGCGGCGTGGGTGTGAAATCCTAAACGAAACGAAGAAGTCGACATCTGTATGCCCTGAAAATGCAAGAGTAGGTTTATCAAAGGATATATTCAAATGTGCCCAGTTTTTGAGACTCGGTACAATACGCGGTTATGCTCAAAGGTTCGCCTCGGACACATATGAAGGGAAATATTACTCCACTTAAATCGTTTCTCGTCTTATATCCCAGTCAAATTTCTGTCGGGTGCCTATGATTGTCAGATATTACCCATAACACGAATGAGACCTTCCTCCAGTCGCCGTCATTTAGTCTTGCTAGCTCATTGTGAATGATCCCTTCAGGAATCTACCGACTGCAACCCATCAGGTTGAATCTTTGTCATATAACTGTACCCCACAAAATATGGCATGAACTCCAAACTCTCGTATGCGTACACTACTCATTCTTTGGTTTGAAACCACACTAGAAGAATACATGGGTAACCGGGATTGTAACAAGTAATTGTATCTTGTCTTTACATGTGACAATTCTTTCCTTCCGTAGAAGTCGAATTCAAAATGTTATTTATTTTATCACGGAATTCGTGGAGTTATTTCATGGCATTCGTTACCATTTGAGTGGGAGTCAACGAATATCCAGGAAATCCCAGGAAGACGGGTTCAAACAGAAGATGGATAAACGAGATGCACATGGGAATTCTGCATTTCTGTCCAATAGTCCCTAATCGTTTAATTGTTGTTTTCTAATAAACAACTCCGCAGCGAATGCCTTTGTGCCGTGATCAGAATGAGGATGGAGATGCCGCGGCCACAAACCTCTGACGATGGGGATGTTCGGATTTTTTTTGGAGGATTACGAGGGCGATGCGGAGGCATGTGGACTGGATTCCATCCAGGGTAACTTGGCAGCGCTGAATACCTTCCTCAGACGCCGGTCGAAGGCGGCCATGTATGTGATCAGACGGGACCCTCAGGGGATTGACTGCGCCGCCACTAATGATGCACCTGCAACGGAGTTCGACACAACGGCCGACCGCCGGGAGGCTATGAGGCGGTTCAAGACAGCCAGAATGGCACCGGGACGTGACATGACTCTATTCTTCACACGCTTCCAGCAGTCGCTGGACCGTGTATTGCCGGGACCTGACGGAGTTTCGCGCCAGCAGGTGTTGTTTGACCAGCTCGTTGAACGTGTGCAACCGACGCTTTGTGCCCAGTTACGCTTTTCGAGTAGAAGTGGCCAGTTGAGTGTTGAGCATCTGCTTCAGCTGGCAAGGGAATCGGCTGAGGCTCCGCTGGCCACGTTGCAGTCGCAGGAGAACAGGTAGGATTCAACAGTGGAGGACCCGAACAACATAGTGGACCAACTCACCGGACAGCTTTCAGCCGTCAAGACGGAATCGCTCAGGCACGCTCAAACGGGCCGATGCTACAAGTGTGGCATGAATGACCATTTTGTAAGGTTCGATGCCCTCGTACCCGACAAACCGTACATAATTAAACTTTGAACTGCTCCTCCCTTCCCGAGTGGATTGTGACTAGTGCAGTGACGATCAGCGGAGCAGGATTGTAGAACAACCACGGCGTGCCAAAAATGATCCTAACTCATCAAGGGACTTGCTTGGAATGCGAAGAGTTTAAGAGTTGCTTGCAGAGGCTGGGCATTAGAGGGCTGATGACGGCACCATACCACCCACAAATAAATGGTCTAACTGGATGCAGTCACCGAACAATCAAGGAAGAGCTGGCGGCCGAAGTGGATGACTGGGCAGTGTGCCTGCTGGTGGTGTTGCTAGCTCATCGCGCCTCCATGCGGCCAACCACAGGCAAGATCTTTTTCACGCTGTTGTGCAGTCGTCATCCACGCCTTCCAGGTGATCAAGAAATTGGGTTGTGGCCGGCAAAACTCTTGCTGGAAGAAGAAATGGGAAAGTTCGACAAAACTTGAACGACGTTCAGGAAACTTCTAGACGGGAAACGGCAAACAGAATGGCACCGCCATTCCCCGTAGACACGAAATTCAATTGGAAAGAACTTCACAATCCTGGGTTGAGTGGACTGGGGTCGTGGAATCTGTGCAGTCAATGGCAGGGTCCGCTTGTCGTCACCGACCGCCGGGGAAACGTTCATGCTATTCAAGATGGTCGGCGATTGAAAAGAGCAATTGGAGCTCAGCTTCGTAGGTGGCACGATACAGTCGTAGAGAGGCTGAAAATACCACCGTCTAGAGCAGACCCAACCGAGGTAAGTGAGCATCGGTGGCATGTGAACGACCTTTAAAGGAGGAAGGTGTGTGACGGTGCTACTGATGAGGCATGCAAGTAATATGTTTTCTCGCACACCGTTTGGCGTCTAGTAAAAATTGGGCTTATTACGGAAATTGTGGAATTCCGTTGTGGCATTTGCTGACGTTCGAGTGACAGTTAATTAACATCCAGGACTTAACTTGTTTTGTCAATCTTTTCTGACGACAACTAGACGAATGTACGGTGAACAAACACCGTCCTATGGATTTTGCGGCGGAATCGAAGCTCAAATTGTTTTGAAATTTGCTCACAGCGTTGAGCTTTCTCCTTTATAAACGGTGCTCCCAACAAAACTGATATAGCCAAGCTAAATAAAATAATTCATTGACTCGTCTCACACATAGCACTCACGCTCTTTCAGATCAATGGTTCTTTTAGGAAGATCGTGGTGCATTTCTGCCCAGAATTACCAAGTAAGCGTACTCACGAGTTACTAAATTTTTTCTTGACGTCTTCTGGCGGATTGACTATAGAAGTAGAGCAGTTAAAATCATATTTCGCCCGTCTTGCGTGCCATGCCGCGCGTCACCCATTGTTATCACTGTTCGCGAGTTGATCTTATATTCAGTCTTCCGTGTTGACGTGCGATGTACAGTGTTCATCCTAAAGAATATCCGTCACGCACAGCTTCAATGCCCAATATTTCGAGGTCATCGTGGGGATAGTCTCCTGTGCCTACAGATTTTTTGTCCAGTTCTTGGACGCCCATCCTCGAAAATTATATTACCACCAGTAGAAGAACAACCAAAAAATATGGGATCCGGTGACTTATGATGCACGATTGTCCGCTGTTCTGTTATGCGCGTATTAAAGCACAGTCAGAGCGGAAGAAGTACGATGACAAATCAGTCAAACAATTTCAAACACATTTAAACTATTTAGTTGCAAGAATAGCATTGTTTAACTGACTAATCAATAGGGTGCAAATTCGGGTGAACTAGAATGGGAGTTTGGTGATGCTTTTCCGATGACATCGGTTTTCTAATTGTGTCTAGATTGACCAGCCGGTTATTAGATGTATCCGTTCCAGGGTAAAGTTTAACAGATCTGGAAGATTTACTGATCTTGCACTTGAGGTTTCCACAAAATTCCTGTGTTTGAGAATCTTGGCTTGACAGGTGTTTTGACGCCAGGTGTTCACGTGTGGAAAGAATAGTGCGCTGAACAACTCGGGGTATTTAGAAGTTCTATTAATCGTGTTTGTTCGTTTGTTTGCCTTCCTTATTTTTTAACGCAATTCTAAATGGACGGAAAAACTTTACATATTTTTCTGGACCACTGACGCTAATCTTCCGTACAGTGAAATGAAAACGAACATGAAAGCGTTCTCTGCGTTTGAGTATGATTTTACGGATTCGTTGTCATTATAGCAGGCGAAATTAATCAAGTATGAGTCCATCTTGTTCCGCTATCCCATTACCTCGTTCACTAACCAGTTTCTTGCGTCTGTACTCATGCAGGTTCTAGCAAATTAATGTTCCGCAAAGTCATCATATCTCCTCATTGAAACGAGTCGTCAGCAGCTAAATTATGCCACATACCGATACGCAGATTAGTCCATAGTTACAGCGCACCACATTCTTTTGTCCATTCACGAATTCCCAGTTTTTGCTTTCGCTGAATGTAGATGGTGAACCAATTGCTGTTTTTATATTTCGGACAAATTCCACTGCTGTGAAATTTGGCCTTTCCGAAAACAGCAAAAACATCACTTCTGATTGATTGCTCTCAACCCGGATGCAAATATTTCAAGTAAAACACGGAAATTAGCGCATTTTTATGAAGGTAAACGGTAGTTCATCAAGATGCATGTTGAAAGTTTCATGCTACGGTGATTGGTGGGTTGTTCAAACGGCAAATATTCTGAATATGCCGGGCTCTAGTTATTGATTTACTGTTAAAAATTTCAAACAGGCCTGTCTATAAACTTTGCAGGTAAATACACTAAAGCAAATTAGGTTAGAAGTTTTACAACTCGGAATGTGCACTACGATGGTTCGAAATGCGTGTACATTCCCCAGCTTAACCAGTGTTTTGTAAGCTGACGAAGGTCAACTCTTATCTTCAGTATTCAGGGGAAGAACGAAACGAGTTTCTTGAGTATTATGCGGCAAAAACAAGGCGATAAATGCCAGTGTGGTGATTTAGAATAACAGCGAGTGACACAATGCTAGCTCATATGTCTAACCAAACCCAAAGTTGCCTTCCGTCGCGGTCCAATGGTTTCACAGTTTGACCCGCCGTTTCATCTTTCCATGTGGACCAAGTCATCATATGACCAACGTGTCCTTCTTGGTGCTGCCTTCAATGATAAATCATTTTCAATCAGTACCGGTGTCTGAACGATAGGTCTCCAAAGTAAGGCATAGTAACGGGGGTTTACCGTACCCAGATCGTTGCGTTGCCAGTTGGTGTTTCGGATAATGGTATGATCTCCTAATAAGATTTGAAAACACATCATCCTAAAGATACCGGGTTACTTTCGAAGGGTCGTTCGGAAACCATCCGAGTGCCAAGCGAATATTAGTGCACTTTAAGCGCTCAATAATTTATGCCTCCATTCATGGTCAAATGAGACTTTCAAAGCACCGAAAGCGTGATTTTTGGGTTTAATAACGCTTTACAACCCAAGGAATGCTTCGGTTATGCACGGCAATGGAAAGCATTTTTATAGCTCTTTTACAATGGAACCAGCTGTGTTCTTCGATTTGAGAGCTGTTTCGTAATTCTCACCAACGCGCAGCAAGTGCTTTTGCCGTTTCGTTGTTTTGTACTAGCGTCCTGTAATGTTTTCTTCAAGCAGTCAGTTCTTCATGCATAAACACGGATGTTCATGTGCGAAAATAACTGTCCTGTTCGAAGACAGTGGACTTGACCAGGGTAAGTTAAATGGGCTGTCCATTTTCGGGGCAAACAACAACTATTATTCACCTAGCTTTCGGCCGGGAGGTCGGAGACATATGCTCCTGTGACCCTGATTAAATACTCTACACAAACGCCTGGCTCGTCAGTGCGATCAAAGATCCGCAGCTACATATTGGTCGTTGGTTTGTTGTGTTGCCTACAAGTTGGGGCACAACTCGCATGGTAAAATTGCGGTAAGTCATTGGCCTCATCTGGCATTCTGTAGTTTCAACGCCTTTCAACTATATATTATATTATTATTATCATTATTGAAGATTCACATTGTAGCTTCGTACCGTCAGATGGATACCGGTTGTGCATACTGATCGGGTTCGAATGTAATAAATGTATATATATATGTAATATATATGAGCTCAAATTAACCCACGCGTTCTCTTACCAACAGAACCACGTAACCAGCAACAATTGTCGCTTCCATTAATAACCCTTCATTGTATATATCTTGGTGCGACTGTTTTGCACTGCCTTTCAATGTTTGATTATCGTGATACACCTCTTGGGGGAAATTTGCTAGTTTGCGTTTGCTTGTTGATCAATACTGAGTGCTGACTAGTACGAAGACTTTGACGTGAGGTCAGCCTATATCCTAGACGTCTAGCTGTCTGGATCTGCTTTTTCACGGGTTCGACAATTATTTGCGCACGAGTCTCCGTATGACTGTGGGCGATTCGAACACACGGGAGACCATAAAGCGATCTGGGTTTTCTATAGCATCAGTTGTTTACACAAATGAGGCACGAATATTTTGATCGTTTAGCTAACCAGCCAAGAATGCCATATTCAGGTTTACGATGGATGATTGAATTGAACTTTTGCGGATTCTGTGATATCTCGCAGGAACGGGTGTACCCTCAGCACCAGCTTGGGTGAGTCACTAATTCTATGTAATGTCGCACGATATTATAGAGTGTACCAACGGACAAAAGACAAATGCACTCTCCATTCAGTTTAGGGAAAGTGAGTTGATAACTCCACACTAATTTAGTTCCCA